GCCCGCCTCTCTTTCCGGGCCCACCGAGGCGCGCCCCGCGCGTGGACAGGTGGGGACTGACTTGCCTCACCGGCCGGTCCGCGAGTCCGACAGCCCCGCCCAGCGACAGGTGAGGCCATCGCGGCGCAGCCAGGTAGCCGGGGCGGGTCCGCCTGGGCTGCGCCTCGGAGGCTTTAAAGGCCAGATGGGCGGTCTCGGGACGGCAGCAGACGACCGGAGACCCCCGGATCCTGGACCTGCCGCTGTGCCTGTGCAGCTCTGGCCGCCACCGGTGAGACCCCGGTGGCTTAAAGCGGGCCAGGAGCGCCCCCGGGGTCCCGAGAGTCCGTCAGCTCTTTCTGCGGGGACAGTTCGCAGGGGCCAAGCCGTGGTAGCCAGGGACGTTCAGGCGGGACAAGGGCAGCTTCTCCCCTCCCCTCTCCGCCCCCCACCCCGTAAGTCAGGTGGAAACGCCTGACCTCTGCACATCTGCAAAAATCCTGGGTCCACAGTGAGCTTGAGCGGACTTGGGAAGCCAGCGACAGGGGATCTGGGCGAAACCAATCCCGTATCCTGGGAGCTGCCCACCCCTGTTTTGGCCCTGGCTTCTAGCGGTGTGGCCACCTGATCTGGTTTTGGGGGGCGAGTTGGGATGTTGGTGGCACTGGCCCTCGTGGGTGACTCTAGGAACCTGGGGTCCTCTCCTTCTCAGTGTCTCCTGGGAAGGGCATTCCAGAAAGCTTTCTTGCATGAAGGCGAGGTTGGAAGACATTTCCCACCTCCTGCTGTATGTCCACCTGGAAGAAGGTGTGAAGTGACCTCCTAACTCTTGGGATTGCTTTGCCCTATTAGGGATCAGACATTATTATTAGTCAGGTTTTCCCTGGGTGACCTGAGTAGCATTGGCACAGAGCCCAATTTTTCCAAGTAACCTAGTTGCCTCAAGCTTCTCACCCCTCAGATAGCTTCACACCCTTCTCACACCCCAGATCGTCATGGTATACATTGTTTCAATTCCTAGAGCTCTGGACAGGCTGTTTTTTGATTTTGGTGGGCTCATCACATATGTCTGCTTGGCCTTTCTCCTCCCAGCACAACCTCAGCCTCTTCCACCGTCTTTGGGTAAATGCTTGGCAGAATCATTTAAGTATTTTTATTCCACCATGTTGACCCCGTTTCTGTTGGCCCCGTTTCTCAGAAGTGAATAAGATGACCTTTTCAAGAAGGATTGGTCTAATCAGATACTCACTTCCTTTCTCTCCCTAGGTTTTTGAAACATGAATCCTTCTATTGTCCTGGCTGCATTTTGTTTGGGAATGGCTTTAGCTGCTCCCATGTGTGATTACAGTTTAGATGCGCGATGGAACCAGTGGAAGGTGAAACACAGGAAATCATATGGAACGGTTGGTAACATCTGGGACTGTCCAGAGGCTCTGCAGAGAGCAAGATCCTTGCTGTTGGAAGATTATAGCCTGAGATTACCCTCTGGAGCCCTGCCCTTGGCAATATTGTAAGGCCTTAAATGCAAGGCACAGATTATGAGCACAATATGGGCACACAATCTCTGTTGTGTCTCAGTTCTGGAGAACGGCTCCCAGAAGTATCAGGCCTTCCCTGGCCACGGTTTCTCTTCCGTGTCTGCCTGCAGATCCACCTGGTGAGCATGGGTTGGATTGTCCGTAGAAATAAAGACCATCGGTGACGTGTTTGCCTCTAGAATGAAGAAGGATGGCGGAGAGCAGTGTGGGAGAAGAATATGAAAGTGATCGAGCAGCACAATCGGGAATACAGGGAAGGGAAGCATGGCTTCACGATGGCCATGAACGCCTTTGGGGACATGGTGAGTGCGCTGTGGACGGCTGGACTCTGCTTCCTCTCCTCAGCTCTTTACTACAATAATCTCTTGCTTTCCAATTCTGTATTTCCCTTGCCTTGAAGACCAATGAAGAATTCAACCAGAAGATGAATGGTTTTCAACGCCAGAAGCACAGGAAGGGGAAAGCGTTCCAGGCACCTCCGCTTTCTGATTTCCCCCCATCTATGGATTGGAGAAAGAAAGGCTTCGTGACTCCTGTGAAGTTTCAGGTAAGACAGTGTCAGATTCAGCCCTCCCATCTCCATCATGGACACCTGTGTCTTGGGAGACTGTGACATGCAGTTCACTGTTCTTTAAAGAGAATTCCGACATGTGAGCTGTTGTCAAGGTCTTGCTATTTGTTTTGCGCATGAAAGCTTTTTTACTCCTTTTTCAGGGTCCGTGTGGTTCATGTTGGGCTTTTAGCGCGACCGGTGCTCTTGAGGGGCAGATGGTCTGGAAAACTGGCCAACTTGTGGCACTGAGTGAGCAGAACCTGGTGGACTGCTCTGGGCCTCAAGGCAATTTAGGCTGCGATGGTGGTTGGATGGAGTCTGCCTTCCAGTATGTGCTGGAAAACGGAGGCCTGGACGCTGAGGAATTCTATCCATACATGGCCGCTGTAAGTGGAGCTCCTTCTGTTATTCTAACTCTGCTTTTGGAACGTGGATCATGTTCAGAGATAACAGACACCCTTTCAGAATTCACATTTTATATGGTAGAATCTACACCTGCAAACTGTCAGTTCCGTCTTTATAAATGATTAGCCTTTGCACAGGTCTCTGGTTAGATGGTTAACACACAGCTGCTCTTGCTTCTATGTAACATGGAGGACATACAAACCATTCTGCATATCACACACATTTCTTCACTGTGAAAACTTTCTTATGAACAGGTAGATGTAGGCAGTGGCCTTGAAGAGACTTGAGCCAATTTTTAGGGTCAAATCAACTTACAGCGTTTCACTTCCTGGGATGATTTATAATAGCCTTGACTTGGAAATCCTAAGCTACTCATGGATGGGCGTTGTTTTGGTTCTAGAACTCATGTTCCCTAGGAGGTAGATGGTAGTATAAAGTCTCGTCTTCTTTAACTTTACAAGGATGAAGACTGTAAGTACAAGCCTGAGTATTCTGCGGCTAATGACACTGGCTTCATAGACATCCCTGAGGGGGAAAACTCTCTGTTGTCTGCTGTGGCCACTGTGGGACCTATATCTGTGGCGATTGACGCAAGCCAAGACTCGTTCCAGTTCTATGGCGAAGGTAAGCATACTTCTTTGTAGAAACTGATGCAGAAAAAGAGCAAACAGCCAGGACATACCGGCATGATGGAATTTTGGAATGTAACGTTCAATGTAGACAACTGGGTGCATGGATTTCACACAGTTGTTCCTTCTGCACATGCAATATTTGTACTGGGTGTTTCCATGTGCCATTATGTTATCACAGCTCCGTTAAGGTAAATACCTCATATCTTTTTATAAATAGACATCTCATGTATTGTGTAGCTTAATTTACTTAAATATTATCTAATTGTTGGATCTTTATAACTTTTCCAAAACTTTTACTTCTGTGGTTAAATCTGAAAACAGTCTCTTGATTCAAGGATTTTTGTGGTCCATGCTATTTTCTTAGACATCAGAGTATGGTATAGAATCAGAGATTTCCAAAGAGGATTTTGTTTTTTACGTCTGCAGGCAAGGTTTTATACAAAAATGATGCTCATTTGTATTTCTGTTAGTTTCAAATGAGAGCCTAAGTCCCTAGTCTTGATAACAATATTTCTTATTGTTAAGTTCTATCTAGAAAGTGTGTCATTTCTTTTTTTATTTTTTATTCATTTTTTATTTTTTAAATTTTGAGTTGGAGTCTCACTCTGTCACCCAGACTGGAGTGCAGTGACATGCTTCCGGCCACCACAGCCTCAACCCGCTGGGCTCTGGTGATCCTTCCGCCTCAGCCTTCCGAGTAGCCGGAACTACAGGTGCACGCTACTACGCCCAGCTAATTTTTGTGATTTATTGTAGAGATGCGGTCTCGCGAAGTTGCCCAGGCAGGTCTCGAACCCGCAGTCTCAGGCAATCCACTCACCTCGGCCTCCCAAAGCGCTGGGATTACAGGCTGAGCCACCGAGCCTGGCCTGTGTGTCATTTCTTGAAGGCAGAGTTGCTTTCCTTACAGAGTGGGTTACTTTTAGGTGTCCCCAGAGCTTCTCACCCCAACAATCCTTTCACTGTCCTAGGCATTTATTATGAGCCAAACTGCAGCAAGGAAAAGACAAATCACGCTGTTCTGGTGGTTGGCTACGGCCACGAAGGAGTAAAACCGGATGAAAACAAATACTGGTTGGTGAAGAACAGGTATACAGGACCACAGATGCTTGTATTTGAGATTCAAAAGGGAATTCTTGCTTGCGGTCAGTACTTGGATACATTTTCACAAACCCCCTTCAGCACACTTCCGAAATCCAGAAGTCCTTATCCCACTGGATCGAACATAGATTGTTAATGTTCGATTATTACATTAAGATACTCTCGTGAGCATGCTGGGGGTTACATGTAGAATTTGTAACGGGCATTTCTAAATTCTGAAATGTTTTCATTCTGAAGCATTTCTGCCTGGAAAGACATCCTGTCCTTTGTCTGTCTCTGTGCAGTTCTGTGAAAGGTCACAGTTTTGGTCTGGGATAGAAGTTATGTGCACGTTTAGCCTCAAGAATTTATAGATGAACAAGAACATTTGCCTCTCCTGATCCTTTCTGTTAAGTCTGTGGCCCTCGGCACCCTGTTTACGTTGGGTGTTTCTCTTAATTAGTCAATGTTCTTTATTCTTTCTTTGAAAAAAACAAAAAACAACTGCTCTCTTTTCAGCTGGAGCACATACTGGGGCTTAAACGGCTACATAAAGATGGCCAGAGACCGGAATAACAACTGTGGAATTGCTTCATATGCCAGCTACCCCACTGTGTGAGCTGATTGACAGGACTGAGGAAGGACTCGATCGGGGATGGCCGTTCCAGGGGAGGAATTTATCTGAAATTTCGCCAGCCTCCACTGTGTGGGATGCACACTTGGACCACTGAAGATGCAAGTTGTGACGATCCAGAGCGTGTGACATTTTCATACTGGTTAATGTTACCCCTATTTCAATGACTACCATAAACCGCTTTGTATTATTGATTCACTTACTTTGGCTTTCGGTTTTTAAAGGATGTACAGCATTTTACCTGTTTACATAAACTTAATTTCAAATATACTGGCAGGGCTTCTTTTGTTTTTGACACACTGACTTTCTTGCGTGCCAGGCACATAATTGGGCTCTAAGAAAACTGTTGTGCCCGTGATTTGCTAGGAGGAAGAGGGGATGGTCTCTGGCCCCTCTGGCCACAAATATGTATCAAATGAAGAAAGGTGATCAGACATACATGTGATTTTAATACTACAGCAGGGCCTTAAAGATCACGTTCATCTCACCTGGGGTGTTTACAACCCACTGTAGTTATGGGACAAGCATCTCAAAGCCAGATTCTTGAGTGTGTTTTCCAACTCCAGGGGAAGACCCAGTGTGCACTTTGCAGTCGAGTTGGGAAAGGAAACCAGTGCATTCCCAAAGCTGTTTGTGTTTGGGTCCTTGAGGATTTAGGAATAAATCCAGGGTTTGAGGCTGAACTCTAACAATGGTTCTCTGGCCTTGGAAGGTGAAAAACAGGCAAGAGGACAAGAAATGATGGTTCACGGCCCCAGTTAGACCAAGCTATCTAATCCCAGAATACACTTTAAAAATAAGAAAAAACTTCTTACATTGTACTGGCTAAAAAAGCCTATCATTTCTTCACCTGTGTGTTTTCAAAAGTCTCCTGTTTCCACTTGTGAAAATATTAAGAGTAGGTGGAAGTGGTTAGGGGTTAGACTCCATAATCCCAGAGGAGGGAAGCCAGGTGGACAGTGGGATCTCAGCCCATAAAGCCAAGACCGTCTAGACTGGATCTCATGCCATGCTGAATGCCACGTGTCCCTCTTTACTAGTGGCTGAAGTTTTAAGCTGGACCTAAGATGATAAATGTGTCAGCTGGAGTGAAGTTCTTTGTGTTTTATACTAAAAGCACCCAGTGTGGTAGCAAGTTGTGCCAGGCAGGACCTAGATTTGACACAAAAAATTCCTGTAGCACCCACTATACTCTGCTAATCACCCCTGTGGAAGAGACAAAGGCCCCAACCCCAAGGAGCTGGAGCTGTTAGGGAAAGTGAGGTGGTCAGAGAGAGCTTCCAGGATAAAGGGAAAGCAGAAGTTATCCAGAGCAGTCAGTCAATAAAGGAGGACGAAGAGGGGAGACTGGCATGTCAGCTCCTCTGAGACCTGACTGTGAGGTTAGACACCCTGTAGGAGAAACTGGGTCAAGGTGCCAGGGGATGAAACTGGCAGAAAGGTGGGTTTTAGGACAAAGGAACCACTGGGGAGTGCAGTGAACAGATGAGTCAGCTCTCTGTTACTGTAAAACAGACCACCCAACACTTCCTGCCTGGACTTGGTTGCATGGTGTTCCCATGGAAGTATCTATCTGTGCTGGAGACACCTGCGGGTTTGATTGGATGGGACATCCCGAGAGCTCCCTCGCAAGGCTGTCCGCAGATGCTGTGTTGGCTGCAAGTTCAGCTCTATCTGTTGACCAGAGCCCCTGGTCTCTCCATGACTTGGACCTTCCACAGCATCAACACTGGGTAATGTTTGTATATATGAATTCCAAGTTGACCAACTATAAACACTGAATTTCACAAATGCTCACGATCATCTCTAGTTGTAAATATGTTAACAGAGAAAAGGATTACCAAGAGACTTGGTTTCTTTCCTCCAGTCCAACATTTAAAAATTTTTGTAACACACATGTTTAAAGGTTTGGTCTCTTTTCTTCACACGTATGCTTTCAGCAAATGTTTACTGGCACCTCCTTGAGGCGATGCTGTAAAGACCCCCTCAGAGTTGTCCCGGTGTCCACACACACTGACGTCATGAACGTTTCTTGACCAGCTGAGCTGGCTTTAGCAAAGACACGTTGTTGCTGAAAGATACCAGGAACAGGTGAGGGGTAGCCATGGGTCCCCAATCCAGGGGCAGTCTCCTCCCCCAGGAAAAGGAACCAGGGTGTGAAAAATACAACAGAAATAATATGACCCAGGTACAAGAATTAAAGGCCTTTCCTCTTTGTTAATTTTTGGGTTTTTGCCTTAAACACTGAATCCATGTAATAACAACAAAATTGAAGCAAAGAGCACATGATGAAAAGCAAAACCCTCACCTTCTTCCTCTTCTCCCTGACCACTACCAGAGGTGACTTCTTTCAGTTGTTTTAACTTTCCATGCTTTCATGATTATTATAAAAACACAGATCAATGTTGCTCAAAATATAAGTGCAACCCATTAGTGAGAATTAAAATTCACTGGGGGGGTCACAATCAAGTCTTTTTAAAATTGTAATTGACACATACTAACTATACATATGTATTATGTACAACATGATGTTGCAAAACATGCATACCTTGTTCAATGGTTAAATTGAGATTTTCCTGCAGCTGCCTTGTTCGGCTCTAGTTGACTAGGGAAGGGGTGGGCTGAGCTCAGGCAGGGACAAGGGAGAGTTGGACATCTTGTCCCAACTTTCGGGTGACAGGAGCCTGTTCTTTCTGGGCCAGGAGGCAGGAGCGGCCCTGAGCCCCACTCTAGGCCAGCAGGTAGGAAAGGAGCCAGTTGAGTGGGTGGGGAAGAGGGGTAGGGGACCCTCCAGTGCTTGAGGGTCCTGGTCTTCACCCGCTACTGAGGGAGAGGAGTGGAGGAATTGCTGCAGAGATGTCCAGCCAGAGCCTGACGACTAAATCACTGCTACCCAGCATGGTGTCAAGTACTCTGTCCTATCCAAGACAGTATGCAAAGGCCACGAATTTTGACCTCATGGGGTCCAGGAAATAGCACCTGGACTCCTTCATTTAGTGCACAAACAAGATTAATGTGAACATCCCACTGTTGGCAGAAAGTTTACTGAAAAGACTCCTAATTGTAGTTGGGTGGTGGTCTTCAACTCTCTCATTAGAATTCATCATTTGATGGTGTAGGGAAAGGAGGATTTTATTCAGTGTTTGGCTTCAAAAAACATGTTGTTCAACTTGAGCAGTTTTTGGATAGAAGTGGATTGCGAGGATATCACGGGTCTACATTGATTAGGCAGTATAGTCTATATTTTTGAAAAAGCAGTTTCATACAGACAAGTTGCATTTGATTTCACAAAAGTGTAGAGAAGGGCTGATGGAGCTATGAGACCAATGAACACAGAAACACTCCTAAAAGCTGTACCAATGATTTATAATCAAATGTCTGTACTTCTTGATTTTAATGTTAATAGCAACAAACTTCCAAATGGGGTCATAAAGGTAACCTCCTGTAAGATATCATTAGACTGTTGGTGGCATACATCTTCCACCACCAGCTTCCAAGAGGGCATTTTGTCATGTGCTTCATGGGTGTTTTCTTGTGTGATCCTTTCTAGAAGATAAGAGAGCCCTACACCTTCCCTAGGATCAACTCATTGTCAGGTTTGAAAACCTAAATTGGGTGACATTTCAGTGACAATCTCAGGTATTAAAAATACAAGGCTCAGCTGGGTGGGGTGGCTCAGCCTGTAATCCCAGCTCTTCGGGAGGCCGAGGCAAGAGGATTGCCTGAGCCTGGGGGTTCGAGACCAGCCTGGACAACTCGATGAGACCTTGTCTCTAAAATAAATCACAAAAAACTAGCTGGGCATGGTGGCGTGCATCTGTAGTTCCAGCTACTTGGAAGGCTGAGGTGGAAGGATTGCCTAAGCCCAGCAGGTTGAGGCTGCAGTGGCCATGAGCATGCCACTGCACTCCAACCTGGGCAATGAAGAGTGAGACTCCAATTAAAAAAAAATTACATATATATATATATATATATATATATATGGCTCATTCATTCATCAATTCTAAAAACACACATAAAATATTCTTTTAAAAAAACCTGGCCTGGCATGCTGGCTCACGCCTATAATCCCAGCACTTTGGGAGGCTGAGGTGAGAAGATTGTGAGCCTGCAGGTTTGAGACCAGCCTAGGCAACTTGGCAAGCCCTCATCTCTACAATTAATCAAAAATTAGCCAGACGTGAAGGCGTGTGCCTGTAGTTCCAGCTACGCGGAAGGCTGAGGCGGAAGGATCTCTTGAGCTCTGCAGTCGAGGCTGCGGTGGCCAGGAGCGAGCCACTGTCCTCTAGCCTGGGTGACAGAGTGAGACTCCAACTCAAAACAAACAAACAAACAAACAAAACCTATACCATAGAAAGGAAACAGTACCATAAAATCTAGTATCCATTCCTTTTATGAGCTCTCAAAATCCAAACCCAGGGAAATCTTAGTAGAAACTTTGAACCTTCTGCTCATCCCTGACTGCACCCCGGTGGCTTATACTTGTTTCTCTTGTGTCCTGTTTCCCGCCCCTCCTCCTCCCAGCCCTCAGCAGTTGCTGCCTCTCGTCTTGGTCTCCTTGTCCTCAAATGAGAGCTATAGCTATGGTCCCAAGCACCTCTGTCATCCTCCAATCCACAGCATCCACTGAGGACCCAGATTCTATAACTGAGAACTATCCCACCCTCTGAATGAGGAATCTGATCTTTCTTTGGGTTCATTGCTAAGACACCAGAGGAAATAACATACAAGAGCTCAGTATTGATTGCAGAGTTCTCATCAAGGAATCCAAGGGTGGCTTCTTTTGAATGCATTTTATATTCCTGGGGAGACATCCCACAAGGTGATGTCCCTGATTACCTAATGTACCAAGAAACCTGGTCATAATGTCACTTAAAAGTATGTGTCAAGCTCTGTGCCCATCTGCTGTAAAAGCAAGATTACTGAATTAATCTGATTTTTTTTTTTGAGACGGGGGTCTCCTGCTGTCACCAAGGCTATAGTGT